ATTTAGGCATAGAAGATACGCCTTAGGAGCTTCCCTGTTTTGTTTTACGGCATATCTACTATGCCCTGCTACTTGTCCTTCCAACGCAGCTCTACAGCCGCTATTGCCAGTCAATCCCTGCTGTCAAAATGACAGTCTGAAGTTCCTCTGTATGACAGCAGTGACTGCAGCTGCTCCTGTGGAAGATGACATACATTGCATCTAGTGCCTGCAATTGCCATTGAGAAATACAATGTAATACAATATATTGTTACGTTGCATTTACTCATTTTCATTCATATGTAGATCAAAAGGACGGCCTTTAATCTGCATGGCAACCTTACAAGTCATCAATACATTGCATTCCCATTTCATCTCTTAACCCTAATCCCTTTGAACCCTTGCAAACCCCAATCAGCCCTAATAATTGCCATACTCTACTTCCATAATAATTGTTCTGATAATTTCTAGTTTTTCATTTCTGCCAATTTTTTTAACACCTTTTGTACATTTTTTTCATTTATTTTGTTAATTTGTGCAGTGTCAGGTTTTAAAAAATGACTTATTCGTCTTTAAAATGTTATTAAAAAAATAATACTTATAGAATGCCAAGTCATTGCAGAACCTACAGGACTAGTTCACCCCAGTGGGTAGGACAGGGTGGGGGGCTGTCCTGGGAAAGAAACTGCTCCGGTATCCCTGAGACCGCTGGCCCCACAGGAGGGGGATACCTGATGCAGTAGGACCCTGCCGCGTGCACGCAGGCCTATACAGAAAAAAAAGAACATTTCCCTATGCACCTGTTTAAGAATAAGAAACCTGGAGCAGCCTTTTGAAAGATGGATTTCAGCCATAAAATATTGTGAATACAAAGAAGGCTCAATTCACAAAGCTAACACACCAGCATAAGTGACAGTTAGTTTTAGCTGTGTCCAATGAGATTTGAACATTACGGTCACATGGCTAAATTAGAGAGCCTTATCCTCGTGTTAAAGCTTTGTGAATTGAGCCCAAAAGAGACATATTGGGGGGAATTCATCAAAACTGCAGCAGACAAAAATTGGAGCAGCTGTGCACGGCAACCAATCAGCTTCTCTCTTCAGTTTGTTCTGTTAAGATTTGAACATACATGCACAGAGTGAAGATTTTCTTCCTCCTGCTCTAATTACTCTCATGTATAACTGTGCTGATGTGATGGTGGATATCATCGTTGGTGCTCCTAAAATGGGCATTTTGGATCAGTGGTGGTTAAAGCATTACTTTTATGTCACTCAACACCAGTGTGACATCTCATTCTAGGTAAGACCCTGTAGATGTGGATGGTTTTGAATTTTAGCTCATGTGTGCAGCTTCACTCCCATAATGCAACAGGCTTCTCCAGTTCCTGTATAACCTGCAAATTATATACTGAAGAGAGAGGGTCCTTGTGCTGCACTGCATGGCTAAAAATTGTGCATGCTCCTTTTTTGCACATTCTAGTGCATTAGGCAGCCCATTAAACTGAATAGGCTGCCCTAATGCAATGCACATTAACAAATGACAATTAACACATGACATAATGCTCGTTAAATGCAACTCCTACCGGTTGTGAATGAGCCCTAGATGATTTGTTTAATGACCACATACCAGTGGCGTCACAAGGGGGTGCGGCTCACACTGGGTGACACCTGGGGGGGGGGGGGGGGGGGACAACAACAGACACAGTCTGTATGAAGTTGGCCACAAAACAGTCCCTTATACGTTAAAGTGGACCTGTAGGTGGCACATTATATCAAAATGCCACCTACAATGCAATGCCCTCCCCTCCCAGTACCTACATGCCATTCTCCATTCTCTATAGGCCCACCAGGATGTTTAAATCTCACATTTAAATAGCAACCACCTTCTGTGTTCGCTGACTTGGCCCACCCTCTCTGCATCTCACAACAGGTTAGTGAGGTCAGTTATTACAGTCATGGGCCAATAGTTGGGCCGGAACAATGATCACAGCCATCGGTCGCTATTTGCATATCACAGCACCCCAGTATGCGTGTGGTCAGACAATCAACGTACCTTTCCATGACTTCCTTCCGCAAGGCCTAGGTGACACCATCTGCTTCCGGCCAGATCTTGGAGAATGTCGAGTAGCCAGAATCTCATGAGAAGACAATCCTGCTCTGTGCTGTAGCATCTTCTCGCAACATTTGGGCTACTCGACATTCCCAGGGATGTTGTCAACAGGAGGATGACGTCACCTCCTGCACTGTAGAAGTCGGGAAAAAGCAAGTTGATAATCGACCTATACCCCCCCACTGGTAGTTTTATGCAGCACTGTAGGG